ATATATATATGTATAGATATACATAACATATAGACTCAACACATACGCAATATGTATGCCTGCGAGATCATGTGTGTGTGCATGTTAGTTACTAGTTAGACGTTACAACCCGACCATATATTTGTTCAATATTTTCTTTTTCCTAAAAAAATAATTTTCCAAGAATTTTTATAGTGGAGAAACCTTAGCATATATAGAGACTATTGACCGCAATTGTAAAATTCAAATCAAATGACATATTTGATTTAAGAGTTGGATACTATGACAAAATAGTTATAATAACGCTGTTACATCTGCTTCATAAATATTGCCTGATTTAAATCATTTATAATTCCCTTTTTTCCATATATACAATTTAGGTTTTGCCTATGGTTAGAAATTTACGTTCTAGCTAGCTGACAATGCATGATGATTTGTCAAACAATATTGACCATTTCATTTTGGTTTGTAAAACTATAGAGCTTGTCATTTTCTCTCCTGTCTTTATAAATATATAATTATCGCAATAAATTAATCATGAAATTTGGAAATCATAGAAATAAAGATTAGTTGAGTATGAAAAACTTACTTCCAAGGAACATCTCCAACTAACATCAAGTCGCCATCCTTGTCCTCATAAGTTGGCACATATTCAATTCCTTTCACTGGCTTAACAAGCTTTCTTTCGTCACAGTTCCCTAAACCATGTACCAAATTAACAACCCAATTAAAAAATATATATATGTAGTAACAAACTTAACACAAAAAACGAACAATTATATACATATATATTATGAGAGAATATTGTATATGGGACTTAAATATTACCCCGGATGTTGAAACAAGTAAACATCTCCTGCAAGGCTATCAAAAGCTCCTTGTAACCATTGTACATCTCTAGGTCAACTTTACGCAAGTATGGTGCACCATCTGCAGCCACCTTAACATACTTGCAGCTCTCGGCCGCCGCCAAGACCTTCTTTCGGAATGATCTCACCGGCGGCCATCCGATCATCTGAGCCCTAATTCAAATTAAGTTAGATAGGTGCATTACTATAATTAATTATTTTGATATTAATACCGGCAGAGAACTAAAGCAATTTTAGATTAAAAAAAGTTAAAACTCTAACTGATGATCATGATCAATAACTCCTACTACGGTTGATATCGGACCACGCGGATCTTTCACTTTCAGTAGTGTACTAATTGTAGATAGATGGATATTATTGTTTGCAAACAGATGTTTAATTAACTGGTTAATTAGTGACCTTTGAATAATGATCAGTTATTAACTTATTATATACTGTATTCAAAGTACTTATGCGTTATGACAATTATATGCGGGGGATGTAAATATACAACACACGCATGTTCAAACTAATAAAATATTAAGTACGCGAACGTATTTAACTAATTGCTAGCAATCCCCTTTAGACTTTCTTCTATGATTTAATTTGTTACTTTGATTTTTTAAAGTTTGACAATTTAATTTAATCTCTATTCTTATTTAGAGAATATCGGTGCAATAGAAGAGCAAGTACGTGAAACTTGTCATTAAACACATGGTACGTACACCACTGACACCTGATATAATTTATAGGTGGATTAATATGCAAACTCTCAAATAACTTGAATTTGACACCTGATCAACATCAAATTAAAGTTTAAGTTCTTATCAACTAACTTGAGCCTACACAGATATATATATATATATATATATAGTAGAATAGTCTCGATTGCTACACATGAAAAATACAATACAAGAGTAATTCATATACATATGAAAAAGAACTATATTAAACAAAGCCATATATATATATATATATATATATTTATACACACGTACACTCACAAAACATTAATAATATTACACTAAATCAAAAATAATGATTATGGACTTACTTTGCAGCAGGGGCTTCCCCAACCATACAGGAAGTAGCATCAGCTTCCAACTTATCGTCCACACGAGTTTCGCCAGCTGTCGCCTCACCATTGGATCTGAGCAGGTCAAAGTCAACGTCGTTACCAGGCTCCACAAACCCACGTTTATTAATATTGGTCGACAAGCTGCTCTTCATACAACTAAACCCACCGGGAACCGCCGCTGCCGGCGACATCGAAGCAGCTCTGTCGCCGCGGCCACCGCCACCTGGCGGTCCCAGTGTAAGCTCGGTGTCCTCCAAACCCATGTTTCCGATTGCATTAAAGGGATAATCCGTGTGCTTATTATGCTGATATAATTGTTTCAGAGATTTGTGTGTTTTGTTGAAATATTTGTGATTCTATGGACGTGTGGCTATTTGTTCCTTTTCTGTGCGTGTATGAAGGTGTATATATAGAGGTAGAGAGAAGTGGTGGGGTTCAATGGGGATATGCCACGTGTGCAAGAGTGGGGCCACTTGTTCGGATTGACATGCATGCTAATTTGACGGCAGCAGCATTTAAATTTGGGACTCTCATCTGTCGGTACATCTAATTGGAACCCCTTTCTGTCGTCTCTGCCTATTATATATGTGTGTCTACACACACATGTATATACAGACACACACATGTATACACAAACATGTATATATTATATACATGATGTCATGTGTACATATATAGCGTTCATAATTGGTTGCGATACTATGCAAAGAACTTTTACTAAATTAAGCAAGAATATATTTACTTTCATTATAAATTTAAAACAAACATTTTCATGAAGTCATCAACTGATTTATAATCCAAGCTTAGCATGAAAATCGTGCAATTCAAACTTTTTCTTTTTCAGTTTGTTAGTGTTTCTTTTATTTCTAATCCTTTTTCTTCGTTTAATTACTATTTTTTAAGGAAAAAAATTACTAGAAATAAAGCAAATTGTGAACTATATATATATATATATATTTATATATGAATTTTCATCAATAAATATATGATATTACAATTCAAATATTGGAATGTGAATTTTGAAAGAGAAATGAATGGTAGTTATATAAAAAGCTCAACTAGATCATGAATTGCAAATCATCCCATCAAAACATTGTGCGTCTGTCTGTCTGTGTGCGTGTGTGTGTATATATTATATATAATCTATAATGTGTGTGTGTATATAATCTATAATTTATAAAGTGATGAATCCATAATAACGTTGGCTGTAAACGACATAATAACGTTGGCTGTAAACGACATTGTATTGGGACATATGGCTAGTGATATTCTATATAGGTATCTAGAACTAATACTGGATCTTAATATAATTTTATGTACTAGTTCCTGCACCTTTCCAACAAACTGATGGAAATTCAACTAATCTTGAACTTGAGGGACCTAACTGTGTCGTTGAAAAGGTGACATTAATATTTACTTTGGAAGCATCTGTATTGTAAATGAAGCATTTGACTGTTTATGTCTTTATAAATTCAACATTACAAATGTGCATAACATGCAACACCACAGACATCGCCTACCCCTAATAACTAGCAACTAACAGGATTGAATTAGCTGAGAGACGAACAATCCCACATGGCCTACCTAATTAAGTATTCATTTTAGATTTTCAACCTAGTTTTAGAAAACCATTTTCATTTTTCTCTTTGAATATATATGTTCAAAGAGTAATATTTATAATATATATATATATGGACTTGTTTTTAAGAAGTACGTTTCTAATAGTTATGTATTTTAATAAAGGCACATTTTAATAACAATTGATGATGAGATTTAGAAAGAATTCAATCTTGTTAATTGTTTTAAAAAAAATTTAATTAATTGTCTAATTTATTATAATCGTCTTATTTATATCACATTGTTATAATAATTATTAAAAACTCCAAGGGAGCGACAAGTACATTTTATTTTTCCATTTGATTCACATTTAACATAAAATTCCACTTCTGAAGTTTTAAGAGGCAGCAAAATATTAAAGTTAATAACGAATGACAATAATGATAATCAAGTCCTAGAATGGACAGTACATGGGCATGCATTTCCTAAAAATGTCATGATTAATTAAAGGTAATCATGCCAAGGCAAAGAGATGAATCTTATCATGAAATTCAAAGTGAAAGATTAAAGGGAGGACTAGCTAGAAGTCGAATATGGTTTGGTTTGCAAAATGCCACAAGAGCATGTGATCAATGTTGGAATGTCGGCAAAGTGTCGCTTTTTTATTCAAAGAACCAATTTATTAAAATAAAAATAATGACAATAAATAAATAAAACGAAAGACTATATAGTCTGGGGGCGCCAAGATACTGTGTTTATAGATGGAGACAGGTAGCCGCACAAAGCTTTTGGTTTCTGAAAGAGAGGAATTGATTCTTCTCATGCATTGAAATTTTATGGAATTTGATTATATAAAAGACTATTCTAAGTTCAATTCTATTATGTTCTTCAAATGCATACCTATTTAATGTATAAGTGCATTTAAATCATGCATTGTCAGTCTTCATGACAGAGAAAGTCTTCTCGGATCTCAGGCTCACATTTTATTTTTTTTTATGCTTTGGTTTCACATTTCACGATATATATATATATATATGTGTGTGTGTGTGTGTGTGTGTGTATGTATAACATCTCACAGTACATGAGGTTCTCTCATGCATCTCTACAATTACAAAGCTCTAATTAATCACAACAAAAAATAAAATAGAAACAGTTGATTTTATCATAAGGTTTTGTATGACATTAAGAAACGCATGTACGTACACTAGTATTTGATACCTTTCACTTTTGTGAAAATTTTGACACCAGAATTGTACTCCGATAAATTACTTAAAATTGGAATAAAATAAAGTCAAGCTTTTTTTTTTTTTCTTTTTGGTCGAAAAGCTGAGAAGAACATTAGTTTTGTACCTTAAGCTTTATTTATCAATAGTAATAGAATAAACAAGTTTTTTGTAAAGTGTACATGATAGGACAACATTGAATAGAATAGTCTCAGGAGATTGTACTGGAGTTTATAGGAAAGAATAGGATTAAGTTTTAGTTTAATCCAATTCTATGTTTGGCGTTTATAATTAGGAAAAGCATTTTTTTTTTTTTTTTTTTGCAGAAATTTTCAAATTTTGAGGTCAAATTGTAATTTTTAAAACTTGAGGGGCAAAATGTAATTTTTTTAAAAAAGTAATCTCATAAAAATTACATTTTGACTCCTCAATTTTTAAAAAAATTACAGTTGAACCCCTAAATTTTATAAAAATTTACAAATATGTCCCTAATATTTTTCACAATGTGCTCTAATTAAAAGTTTGTTGTGTTTAATCCCACGTTTCAACAGGGGATAGCCGCATCCCCTTCTAAAGGAATTTGAGCATAGACTTGATAAAAGTTTATCCAATCCAGTAATTTAAAAATTTTCACCAAACTAAGTAATAAAATTCAATCATATCCAGTCCTTTCTAATCCTGGGCATCAAAGGGGCCCTAACAAGTAGTTATTATTTGGGTAATCTTAACAAATACCTCTTTAAAATACATGGGTCATGATTTTTATCTTTTACTCTTGATTCATAACCTTTTTAGTCAAATAATTACACTAACAAAAGGGTATTTATCAAGAGTAAATGGTAAAAGTCCAGACTCATGCACTCTTAAGAGTAAATTCTTCATTTTTTCTTATTATATTTTTATTATATCTTTGAACTGTTTTCCTAATATATTACAAAGAGCACAACTATGATAATGTTAACTCTATTCCATATGAAGCAGGATATGGATTAGCTGGCATGTGACAAAGTACATTGGCCATTTACAATATAGTTTTTAGTTTTTTTGGTGAGACAATGTAGTTTCTAGTTGGAAGCTAGCTAGGGATTGATGCAATAACAAATCATGTGCGCTCTGAACTGATTTGGGCTGAACTTGTTCATGTGCATGCATGAGATATAGATGTGTACATATATATATTTATATGTACATGTGTAGGTTATATGTATATGTATTGTATATTTAGATGACTTTTCTTGGATTCCTTTTATTATATATGACTTGTTCATGCACTTGCGGATCGAAATATTGCATACATGCACGGAACTAAATGAGTATCTTATTTTCTTTCCTTTTTGGTCTCTTTTCTTTACCTTTTTCCTTTTCCTTTTCGGCTGTTACTAGGGTCTTTCCCTTCCCAACTTCGTTTAGTCATGGAAGCACTACTATTGGCGTGAATTTTATTAGTCTAGTTTCTGTTCTAACTATCATTAGATGAGAAGAAATATTTTGTAATGACACAACTTGTAAACATATTATACTATAAGGTTTATGAGGGCATTCTTTTTTTCTTCTTTCGCTTAGGAGGAAGAGCAAAAGGATCTGTTGAACTGTTGATGCTGTATGGTTCATCTATAACTATATATATATATATATATATATATATGTATGTGTATAGTATATATTAAAAGTTAAACTTACCGACGGCAAGATCTATGTAGCACATTGGCATCTTGTAATCCTTCTGAACCTCAAACCCTTTTGAAAACATTAAACCAAATATGGAAAAGAAAATTCTGAACCTCTCTTAAAGCAAAGATCTAATTCTGGAGATCTCTAATCAAGCAAAACTAATCGGGGCTTTTGGATGAGTTTTTTTCCTTTGTTTTGATTTTTGCAGAACATTTTATTCCGTTGTTGTTCACTTGCTCTTTTCTAATCATCTTGATCGTGAAAGGAAAATGTTGTCAGCTACAAACGAACATTATCCAATCACATAATCCAAAAGAATATGTATCCGATTACGTAAGGCAATGTGACAATGCATGGATAGTTCCCAAATATATTGTTTCAAATTATGTAGCTATACATAATGTGGTATGCCATCAAAATCTAGAGGCTTTATATCTATGCTTTGTAATCTCTCGCTATTTTTATTGGTTTTGATATTCTACCAGTTGAAGTATTCTATCATCTCTATAAAGGAGAAAAATAATTTGATAGGATATCAAAAATATCCTACTAGAATATCATTTGATGAATTGAGTGACATAAATGTTAAATTTATATCATTGAGCGGCGTAAATATAAAGATAGCATCTTTTTAAGTGGCATTGTTTTATTTTAGCCATGCATGATTCAAAAAAGAAGACGAGAAAAGAAAACCAAGAAACCTGTAACATTCTCTGAAGATGGGGATCAACTTTATAGAATTATAGGAAGTCATTATTTAGACTTTGTGACATTTATCCATGTTTCATGTAAAATTCTACATATACAATAAGCCATTAAAATTTAATAACGAAAAAGAAAACCAGAAATTAAAAGTGGTTAGTAATAGTATTTGCTTACTTAGACTTTGTGGCAACTTGTTAAATTGACCCCAAACCAAAAATTTTACAATATTTGCCCTACGAAGACCTTCGTCCTTCTCTCTTAAATACAGAAATATAAAAGTCGATAGTACTTAAGGGAGACATGAAGGTCTTTTTAGGGCAATGATCCTAAACCTTTAGTTGGAGCTTTATCACTCTCACAATAGGTAGTTCTCCTGTACCAACGATCAAACTTAGTAATATGGCAGCAAACATCTATCTATGTATAGAAGTCTTGTCGGCTATTTAGTTAGTGATGTAATCCAAACCCTAAAAGTGAACATGTATCAATATTTGACATCAAATCCTTGCCAAAATATACGTGTGTGAAGAGTTTGGATCTCTTTTCTCTTAATAATTTTTCGGAAGTCTTAATCCTAGTATTATGCAAAAAGTCAGTATTTATCACCCCGTAAAGCAAGTTCCACGTTATAAAAAGGACAGTCCATATAGACAAGTCCCCCTTTGGTCATGTTTAGAGTTTGCAAGTTGGGCTCTCGCTTGTCACCCTTTCAAAACTCGACAAGACTTTGGCCCATCATACATATATAGGTTTAAGGCTTCAACTTTTCTGGTCAAGTTGATTTTAGTATTTAATAAATCTCTTAAAAAGTGTTTTTTAAAGAATTTTTTAAGAATCTATAGCTAAAATTAAAAACAGTCTAAAGATAACTTTAGCTTTTAGATTGTGCAGGAATCAACATAGTACAATTAATGAAACTTTCATAATACCCCTAATGAAATTTAAAATTTACAATTTTCTCAATCTAAAATTCAGACTCGTAATATAATATAATATAATAGTAATATTGTAACAAATAATATCATAATTATATTAATAACTCTAAAATTATTATTTTATCATATAATATGATATTATAATTATTTAAATAATATGA